AAATTAGAACAATCAAGTAGCAATTTATATTATTTACTGAGTATTAACAAGTTTAGAATTAAAATTATGGACCTAATTGAAAAATAATACCAAACTTTAAGACAACTTTTATAAAGTATGAAATATTTGAGGTATATTAATAATTTTTAATAATTTAGGGGTCAAAACATAATATTAAAAATATTTTGACCTTTCAAGAAAAGAGACCCAGTTCTTCATTTTTTTCGGTTTCCAATCCGGTCAAATCCGATTTTTGACTTGATTTGATCGAATTCTTATTTTTCCAATTTTTAAGGTTAACTTGGATCATATAGTTGGCTAATTTTCTATTCGACCAGTTAGACAGGCCAATCCGATCCAAATTTAAAAACAGAGGTTTGAAGTCCTGATATGGCCCTGGAAGAGTGGTTGTCATAAAAAATAAACATCTTCAACCTTGGCCGAGACTTTATATTGGGCCATATTAATTAAGCTCTCAATCCGCCTTCCCACAATCCTCTGTTCCAGTATTCCTTATATAGGCGTAATTATGCAGAACCGTTATCATCAAATTAATGTTCAAAAAGGTGCGGACGTCTTTTGCGTGTAATAGCACGCCTTCAAAATTTTTCGCTTAAATACTTTGTTTGGATTAATTATTTTTTGATATATTTTTGGAAAAAATTTATTGTAGTAATGTATATAAAAAATTTTTATTATAAAAATTTTGATATATTATGTGACTGAGATGTTTTTTGAGTTATTGTATATCACTATAATATTGTATTTAAAAAATTTATTTAAAAAAAAGATCAATTCAAATAGAGCCGTCGTTTCTAATCACTGTATATCAAGCTATCTCGACCGTTCATCACTCGCTGTAAGTAAATCATGAAGTCTCGCTGTACGTTACTCCACCTTTCATATCTATATCTATATGTATTCAGGAAGGGATTTTTAGCAGAAACCCTCTCAATGACTTCTAAACTTCTCATTCTTTTTTCTAGATTTTTGTATTTATTTTAATACATAAAATGTAGTGGGTTATAACCCACCTTATCACCTATCAATATTCCCACTATCTCACTCCCACTATCCCACTATCTTAACTCATCCTATAACCACTCATACAAATTCTCTATTCCCACTATCCCACTATCTCACCCCCACTCTCTCTCATTTTCTTATTTGTTTTTGGTTCTCTATTCATTTTGTAAATGTATTGATTTTGTTTCTTTTATGAGCAGTAATGGAAGATATTATGTGCAGAGACTTTAGCAGAACTCAACCTTCTTGCGGAGAATTGGAAGTATATTCTTGCCAACTTAATTTTTCAGGTCAGTCCCCTCTGCCTTTTAAGTATGTTTTGCTTTTGCTTTGCTTTTTGTCATGAATGATATTGCATTGATTTTCTGATCATCCATTATTTCTGAAAATTTTTTACAAAATCCTATGAATGGTTGTTTGCTTATTGTTACACTGTAAAGCAAAGATAGTCAATAGTGGGATAAAATATAAACACAAAATCACAATCGCATTTCTAACATAAGGTATTGCTTGCTTATATAATTGCGAATGGTATAGATTCATGATTGAGGGTTTTACTATTTCTAACATAAATTGTATATTATAAAATTTATTTGTTTGTATTACTGAAATTTTTTTAATTAATTTTTATTGCACATTTATCACATAAAAAAGGTGTTACGATAGTTATTTTCATAATTTTATTCCAAAAATGATCGTGCATGAGATAAAAAATATATTTTTTTGATAATAAAAAATAATTAAAAATGGTTTATAATTAGAGAAAAACAATTCAGATACTACTAATAACTAAGGCACTATACGCCCATTATTAAAATTGGATTAATTTTTAATTTCGTCAGAAATTCTTTTGGCAAAATTGCATTCTAGCCTTTCTTTTCTTTATCATTTTCTCTCTGCATTGACTGCAATAATTTTCACTTCACTTTTAATGGTTGGCCTTTCAAAATTGGTAGAAAGAGAGTTTATTAGCATTCAAATAACTGTTCTATGTTGCATATTTTTGAGATGCTAAAGAAGGCATGAAACTTCTTGAAGGATGGTATCCTACTTTTTAGAGTTTGAATTGAAATATTACCTTCATTTTTTATATTTTTGTATTTTTGCATCCACTGGATTAGAAAAAACGCATCCTTCTAAGTTTGGATAATGTTCAGTAGTGATACCAAAGACCTAACGATATCTATATGAAAAAAAAATCCGAGGGACATAATTATATATCATACCAGATATTAGGAAACTGCACAAGGAAATAATCCTGACTCATATTTCGGCGCTCTACCTGACTCAAGACAGTGATTTAAAAAAAATATATGATTTCTCTTGGTATTTGAAAATTTCTGAATTCTAACTGAACTTAAACCAAAAGAATAAATTAAAAATTATAGAGGCTGCTAAATTAAAAGACAATATTGAATTGGATATTAAAAGATGGTTTAAACATAGTAGGGACTACGAACCAAAATCTTTGAAAAACAATTCTGTATCCAAAAAATAAAAAAAAATCTACAAGAACAAACTCATTTTCCCAAAAAAAAAAGAAAAAGAAAATAAGCCTATAAGAACATACGCCTTTTTCCAAATTTAATAATTTATCTATATTATGAACATATTATAAACTAATACATTCCTTTTTATTTAATATTAAAAATTGATTTTAAATATACAAGTGATAGCAGAGGGAATGAAGCAGTTAACGACATGTGAAAAAATCGAAAAGGACAAAAGCAATTAGAGGGATAATTTCGCACAAAATTCATAGGTTAAAGTGCAATTTGAGGTATAGATGGGAGGCATTTTAGTGCATTTATTGGTTTGTTTTCAATAAGTGGAGATTGGTTTTGCGGGATTTGGGGGGTCTACATATACCAAAATATATTTATATAGGGATTACTTCATTAACTATGAGTGTTAATAACAATTCTATTGGTGCGTAATTTTTAGTTGATTACAACACAATTGTATTAAATTCTATTGATGCTACTTCTATATTAACTATTGTATTTTTTTGTTAACAATTCTCATACAATGTATCACTTACTACACATAAAATAAATACAAAAACTATTTATTTTTTATTTAATATATATATTTTTTCTAGATCAAGAAATGAAAATATTGCCTCTCTTCAAGTTCGATAGCCATCCGCATCACCAATACTTTTGCGTGATCATGGTAAATATACAGTTTTTTATATCGTCAAAGATCGTGCATTGTCATTTGTAGTACACACTCCACAAAATTCAACATAGTTAATTAAATTATCAATTTTGACTTTCGTACTAAAAGTGGATTGGTGTGAAGAGTGTTCGCACCTTCAAGAAAGATTATCAAATCGAATGCTTAGTATTTGTAAGTATTTCATTTTAACAACATTCAATTGCATTCATTTGTAGAAATATATCATTCCCTTTTTTAATATAAATTTTAATTTTTTTTTCAGGATCCATCTTTCGAAAAAAGACAATTCTTGAATGATATACACATTCTATTATATTTTAAACTATTGTTAAACAGATATTACATTTAAATTTTGTTGGTTCAATTTTTTCTCCTTTAGTTGTTCACCATTTTATTTTTTTCAATAATATCAGCACCGTGCGTAGCACGAGTATTCACACCAGTGTATTCGTAAGGGTTGTAGATATTTCAGCACGACCACGTTGCAGTCAAATCCATCACTTTCATGTCAGTACAACTCCATGGCCACAGATGCCTTAGACGACATCGTAATCACAGGAAAAAAATGCATGGCCGACGCACTTCTTGAGGCAGCACAGCATCCAAAATTACCGACGAGTTCTCTAAGGCAGCGTTTGTCGGAGTAGAAAGATATGAAAAAAAGGCCCTTTAGATCAACTACGTTGGCAAATGATTGTTTGTGCTTTGTTACTTCTATAAAGGGACTTCTTTTGATCCCATGAACTTATTTTTACACATTAATTTTTACATTATGAGATGGCTTGAAAAATGAAAATGGACTATATCTCCTCGCCTATATCTGGCTTTGATAATTTCGTAAGAACATTACGCTTTTTATGACAAATAAACTCACCTATAAAAAAACAAATAAGCTCATTGAAAAATAAAAAAAAACTTAGTGCAATACTTAATATGGCATTAATATAGAATTTGCAAACACATATATTTATGTCTAAATAATAATTATCATTTCTTTTTGTTTTTTTTTTTTATAAATTGACCAAAAAGAAGTGGGCAACGAGATGAGTAATAGATAAAGAAAAACATTGCATGCAAAATAATATGCCTATAGCATCTTACAATTGAAGATCATTAGCAGTTTGAGAACATATGGAGTAATAAACTTAGCTTGTGATCCCAAATGAATTATAGATATTTCAATCGAACCTTATTGAATTAGCCATCAGATTTCATACATATTTCTACAATATTGGATTTTTATTTGATATTAATTGTTACCCTTTAACATCCATCAGATTTTCCGATTTATTGCCAAATACTAACTATGGACATTTGGATCTTCATAGGCTTTTTACTCGGTGACTAATTGCTGAATCAAATTAACATATGAGTGCGATCAAACATTTCTCCTTGTTGAACACATGTTATACATAACTAGGATTATAATTTATGTATATGCACATTGATATTACATATTAATATGCACGTCATCAGTGAATTGTAATCATATCCACTTTTTTTTTACTCGGGTTTTGTATCTTATTCTAATTGCTAAATACTATTGAATAATATATCAATGACCATTAGATAAAGGAAAAGAAAAATAAAAGTTCTATATTTGCACGGATCAAATCAGGGATTTTTAATCGATTTTCATAATCACAAGTTTCAGTTCTTAGCTATTGATCCCGACCAATTTTCAATTTTAAAGATTGGTAATAGCAAATTTGACCTTTTTTTCTTCCCTGGTAAAAGAAAGAAAAAAATCGTTTTTCTTCCTAACCCAAACCAAACAGAACCTAACCGTCAGGCTAGAATATTCATTCATTAATTCCTCATCATCCTGTTGACAGTCCAGAGGTAGCAAACAACTTTTTACAGGAGTGAGAATTGGCACACACCACCCATAGCCATGGCCGCGAAACCTCTCTTGATCTTCACCATCACCGCCTGCATCCTCCGCAACGTCGCCGTTTCCTCTCCAAACCCCACTTTAACCGCAGCACACGCGGAGCTACTCGAGTATGGCTTCCCCGTAGGCTTACTCCCTGCCAACCTCCAAACTTACGATCTCAACCGTACTTCGGGAGACTTCGTGCTGAAGCTAGACGACACGTGTCGCATCACGCTGCCTCCGGACAACTACTTGGCTACCTACTCTAAAAAAATCACTGGTAAAATTGTAGAGAATCGTATTGCTGGGCTTGATGGAATTGGTGTTAGGGCTTTTTTTAGGTGGTGGGGGATTAGTGGAATCAGATCCAACGGTCAGGATTTGACCTTCGAGGTTGGCTACATCACCAAAAGTTTTCCATCTAAGAATTTCGATGAAAGTCCTGAATGTGAAGGCAAGCGTTCTTCTTCTTAACAAGGTATTGAAAAGAAAAATGCATCGATTTTGAAAATTTAGTGTCTTGATTGTACTCATATGTGTACATTCTGGCTTGCAAGAATTCATGTCTGCTTGAATAATTGATTCTGGTTTGATTTTAGTTTCTTTAGTCTGTGATCAGCTACTTTATTTGTATAATACTATGTGCTTATTTACGGAAAAGATTTTCTGTAAGCATGTCTAAGGTTGGAAAGTATAGGTTGCACTGCTGTTTTTAGAGTAGCAACTAGCAAGCCATCGACAGGAAGAAGTTAAGGTTTGACTATATTCGTGAATGCTGTAGCATTGGATTGGTTTCCTTTAGAATACAATTTTAATTCTAGTTGAAGAAACCATGCAGTGCCTCAAGTTAAAATCTGATTTTAGGTACGAACCCGTATCTTCTTGCTGAAGGTTTTCGCTAATGAATTTACAGAAGGTTAGAGTTGGCTCTGAAGGTTCAAGTCAAAACAAATTGTGGCTATAAGATGCCTTAAGAGCATCAGATTATAAGATTGAAGGGGGAAAGGGGATTCATGCGTTTCTTCATCCAACTCAGTTTAAGACTTAAGAATTTACGTCTTTAAGGTTTTGTTCAGGTCTCAATTTGCTTGCAGCACTCAGTTCCCCTGATTCCACTGTTGATGGCAAGGGCTCTACTGGTTTCAACTATTCACTTATCTAGACTTATTTATTGCTTAGGTTTTTTGCTATTTGAATTTTTTTCTTTGCCACGTACAAAGGTTATGAATAACCTTATGGTAGCTGGAGTTGGTGGGTATAACGCTATTAGATGTCAAAAAAGACATGAAACTGTATGCTCTCTCTTTTAATTTTTAGGGTATTAATATAAAGTATTAGCTTTCATCTATGTTGAGCTGAAAAGTTTAGTGTGGTTTGTGATGTGATTTGTCCTTGGTTCCTACCTTCCAATGTATATGCTTGTACGGAAAAGGAGCTAATATCTTCGTTGATGGGTTGCATAAGGTATTATTTTTGCCTTTTCAACTTATTTCCTTGTTAAATCTGTTATGTTGTATAATTCACTATTAACTATGAATAAGATGATTATGAGAATGTGAGCTTGATGTAAAATGTTTTGATTGAGATTTATCCTCATTTTATTATTATTAGTAATTTTTTTTTTTGGGGATTAGGTGCAAAGTTGCCCCCTTTGTCCCAAGATTAGAAAAAGTATATGAGAAGAGAAGCATTTCCACTGTAGGCCCAAAAAGATTTTTGATACTATATTTTGTTGTGTATTTAATGTTTTGGTTCCAATCAATTCCTTTAAAGCATACTGAGTTTCATGTTTAAGTGCTGACGCTTGGAGGCGTTCATTTTTAAGCTATTTGTGTTCTTTATTCTTGATCACTAGTTGTTTGTCTCTTTAGTGATTTGTTAAGAATAAAAGTCGATTTTGTTTCTTCATTTCTTCCCATTCTTCTTGAAATTAATGTTGGGGTAATCTTTTTGCATTTGATACATCATTTTGTATTTTTATTTCAAGTTGTTTTTAACATATTACTCCCTCCAGCTAAGTGATTTGCATTCCTCTCTGTTCCATTTCAAAGTAATTTCCGTAGAGTGGTTATGTAAAATTTTATTTGGCTCCTGTGCTTCCCCCCCCCCCCCCCTTAAATACCACAACTCATAACAGTAACTTGTGGCCCACATATTATAGTCAGACTAAGCTTAAATGCAATAATTTTCAACTCTCTTCTGGAATATGTTGTGATTTCAAGTTCAGATTTTGTACTTGAAATGGAGCATTGAGCAAGACTGATCAGGGTTGGGTTTTGACATATCAGTTTCATTTAGATATGAGAGCTTAAATTTTTTGACCCTATCAGCAGGCAAAATACCTCACCCAGGCTGAAGGTTATAATGAAACATTCATTTGCTGCTTAATCATATTATTCTTCTGTTGAGCTCCTGATGTATATCCTTGTGTTTATTTCTGTTCATGTAATGTTAACCCTGATTTTATAATGCAGTTAGTATGTTGGCCTTTCTGTCAGCTGCTTCCTGGTACTGAAGGAAATAACGTCTTCAGAGATGAGGCATGATGTAGTGGACAAATTTAATTAAATAACTGGTCATACTAGCCCAAAAACTGTATTGAGTTGCCAGGATAAGCTATTTTCTCTGTTAGTGATGTATATGTATGTGATTTAATTCACTTATACGCTGCCTACCTCTCCCTGCCCATCTTTTGCCTAAGCAGCTATTTCATGTCGTTTGTTGTCTAGTTTATTGGAGTTTTTTACCGTTCTATATGATAATGTGCCTTTAAATTACTCGCTGTGCTTAAAATGATAAAATGTTGGGTAGACGCCCCCACGTAAAAGGGCTCTGCTCTGTTGCAGAATTTCTATATCTCCTAGTCTGGCGTGAAATTTGGGTATGGCATGCTTGAGCACGCAAGTGTTTAGTCTAACTATAATAGTGAAATTTGGGTATAGCATTCAGAAGGAAAGGGATTTCCTACCAAAAAAATCTCTAAGAACATTTTTCAATCATTTTTTTATTTCATATATATTAAATTAGTACATTTTCTATAAAAATTTCAAAAAATTACAATCCAAATGCAACCTAGATATTTGCTCTTTGACTTGATGCCATCTTCCTTGTCACTCCCACTTCCGCTACCCTTCCCTTAATTCCTCCTCCTCCCCACTTTATCACCACCAATTCTTCTGACCATAATTGAAGGGGAAAGCAGAAACAGTGGTGTGGTGGTGAATCCCTAACATCCAAAATTGAAATCTGGGACGACAAAATGGAGTTTAGATCTCTGGAGATATGCAGTTTAATTAAGAAACTCGAGCAACAAATGCTGCTCGATCCCAATTGCTTCCTGATGGCACCTACCGACGGTACCCAACAGCAACATCCCCGTCCAGTCCTTTGTAGCCATGTGCGTTCGAGAGTAGTAATGTGGTAACACGGGTTTCTTGTACTGGCAAGAACTTGCGTTGGAAGAGCAAAAGTCATCGTGTTTCTTCAAAGCTTGCTGATAACTTTTTCCAGTCGAATTTCTACTATTCTTTGCCAATTAATGTGCAGAGCCAATGATGAAATTGGTGTCGAATGTGAAAGGCGCCGTGAAAGAAAAAGAGATAAAAACTAAAAAGTGAGGGACATTAAGTCTAGACTTGATGGTGGCGAAGGAGTTATTTTGGCTTCAATCCAAGTGGTCGTCCTCGAGTATATCTCCTTTTTGTAGCTTTGTTGTTTCTCAAAGTCGGATCAGGGCAGAAATGGTTGCAGGTGCAACCTCCAATCGTTCTTGAAGGTTACGTGCATTTTGCACACAGAGTAATTATGTTTGTATATGGTGTAACTTACTTTCAATAACGTGTAATTTTAGAACGAAATTTTATGAGTTCCACGCATATGGTTAAAAATAAGGTATAAGATGAGATCTGAACTGTAGAAGATCTGGATTGTACAATTTTTTTGATCAAATTTTGACCGTGAACTGCTCGGGACGATTCGCTTGATGACCGCCTTGCCCCAAATCCCTCAAAGTCCTTGGCCTTCTCTCTCTCAAAAACGAAGCGGCCAGAAAAATTTAGAACTCGTTAGGTTTTTTGGCCGCAAAATTAGAAAGTGAGCGACGTGGCCACTTTGTTGCCGGTGGAGCGAATCTATGCAAATCTTTGCCCAAATTAATATCTCCTTCCAAGCGAAGCTGAAAGTTGAAGCCCTTCTCTTGCTGCTGCGAAGTGCCAACATATAGATTGCACTAATGGATGGAAAATATGGGCGGGACTCGACATTATTGTTTCCTTCAGTTTCCGTACCGGGAAGAAATGTTAAAAATAAATCTCACGCTGCACTGGAGTACCACTTCTTTGTTCGGGAGTGGAAACAGACTTGCTTGTCCTTGCACGCATGAGTTCGACTAGGACGTGGAGGACCATTGGGGGGGCGGGAGCAAAGTGGGACTCGGGGCTGGCCTGGCAAGTGTGTGAAACAACTCCCATTGAGTGTGCTTATCCATGCTGACAAAACAATGAATGATGTTTATCAGTTCATGTCTATTGGGGGGTAGTAGTACCAAATGATGGGCTGGCCGATTCGGCAGCTTTCAGTAGGTCCAATACCATTTCAAGATACAGTTTGTCACATGGATTTCGGCATTGAAATTTGCTTTGCTTGCTGGTTTGTTTGGATGGGTGTTTTGTTTATCACCTTTTGTGATGCAATGGAGTATACGAAATAAAAAAAAATGGAGCATTAAAAATACATTTGTAATGCAAGTACATAATTTTTTTGTGTAAATAATAAATGTGTTTGGATTGTAAGTTATATGAGATATTTTTACTGTAGCACTTTTTGTGATGTGATGTATGTGAGATAAAAAGGTAATTAGAAAGATAGAAAGGTGTATTGAAAATTGTAATGGTGATGTACGCAAATATATTTGGACAAATAACTTACAATCCAAACACAAACATTCATTAATGTCTATCCAAACACGTTGCTAATGGTTTGCCAACTCGTTATCTCAAAATTGAAAGCTAAGTAGCAAATTAGAACAAACAAATTCTACCATCAATGAGATCAACGAGTTACTTGTTGGGATGAATCAGTTTAGTTACTTATCTTCAAATTTTTTTTGAGGGCTAAAACTTAAATGGGGAGGATGCACGGTACATGGTTTGTCTCGAGCATGTCAACGTGCTTGTTTGTTTCTACAAAGCAGAAAAGAAAATAGAAAATGGAAGTACCCTTTCTCTTCTTCTTTTTTTTTTTTCCCCCATTGAACTCGTTCATGTCATGTGGTACGCTACTTCATTCTTCAAGTAAAATTGTCCAAATATGATGATTAGCAGAAACTGTACCAGAAAAGCAATGGAAGTACTTAATATTCACGGAAATTAATGGCCGGTTCCATTTGTTGACGTGAATGCCCAAGTCAAATGATATTTAATAGATGCACCCACTACGTACGTCCATGCGATTGCAGAATTCGCGAATCATACCTTTTACGACCATTACCGAAAAAAAAAGAAAAGAAAAAGAGGAGGAATAAAAAAAGGCTACAATTCGGCTCAGTGCTCTCCCGTTCTCTTTTGCTGCGATTTGTTCGGAAGTTGATCCTCAAACGGTCTTTGAGTGTATCCAATCCAAAGCGCCGCGGAATCGATTCTCCACCGCCCTTTGTTAATCAATCCTTTGTATGACTGACTAGTCGTTTACTTGTAAGTACGCTACACCCAGTGGAGGGGTCAATTTATGGCGGCAATAAGCAGCCAATCAGCCCGCAACATCTCAACTTTAAGCGATATACTAAAATATGCCAAAAAACAGTCGGCCAATTGGGTGGGATTAATCTTCCCCACCATTTGGCTCTCCAAAAAAGAAAGTACACGAAAAGTGTGCCATGATCGTTTCCAACTCCCGACTTCATTTTAACACATGGCAACTTCGTTCAAAGATACTTATCACAAGATTGAGAAATTGCGCAGACGCGTGGATGTTTGAACATGCAAGGAAGACGAGTTCCACGCCAAGTCGCCGTCTTTTCTTTCCTCCCTTTTTTTTTCTTAGCCACCATTTGAGCAGTAAATTGTCCGTAATACTTATATATAATGTGAAAATTTGTGTTACATCGACGCCAAACCGTCCCAATCACCAGCGCATTATAAACCCTTTCTCTCTCTCTCTCTCTCTCTCTTTTCCCCCTCGTACACCACTGCGCGAAAAATGTGAACCGGAAAAACATGCACTAGGTCGCGTGTTGTGCATGTTTTATCGGTCACGATACTAAAACTGCAATCCAACTAAAAATGAGACAAAGGGAAGGCGTTCGCAGTTCACGCTCACTCCCCAAGGATTGAGGTTTCTTGCAATTGTGCAGATGAATTGCACTGCTGGGTGGTTGCAACTCATGGACTAGATAGGCTCGATAAGAATTCATGGACCAAATACTGCCGACTTAATAAAATGTTTACACTCGTTGTCAGACAATGTCTACTTCTGTTTTGATACCCATTGTAAATTGTAGAAAGCTTCAAATCCCCGGTGCACCTGCTGCATGTCAGCTGAGACCTCGAAGTCCAGTCCATCTAAAGGGGATTGGAAATATGGACGGGAGTTTATTTGAAATAATTACTGTAATATTTGTTATGATGTGATGTATGTGAAATAAAAAGATAATTAAAATTTATATAATAAATTATTTTATCTGAAATCATTTCAATCCAAACAAAATCAAGAAAACGCATTTAAGGATGCTGGCTACCTTAAAAGATAAAATGTGATTAGTTTTGGTGTTTCCCCTCCCCCTTTCCCTCTATCCCACACCGATTGTGAGTGGTGTGTGTACTACTTAAGGTTCTCAGTGTAGCGTGAAAGTCAGCATGCCTTTTGGATTGGATTGTGAGTTTCTCTTAGATAGTGTATGTGTGTGTGTTATTTATGGTTGTTGGTGTGATCAGATGATTGATGACTCCTGCTCTGGACCGCAACAGTTCTCATGTCCTCACTAAAACGGCCTTTGAGAAACTTGCCAAAGGTTCATAGGCTGCCTGCCACTGCGTCTCTTCTGCCAGCTGGCACTATTGTAATTCTCAGCCAATCCTACCTTCTCTTCCGGCAGGCCCCCCACCCTCAATAAAACAGAGAAATAATAAGAAAAGAAAGAACCATTGTTTTATAGCTATTGCTAAAAGTTCCATTGGTTTGGAGTTGGAAGGGACCATGATTCTAAAATTACATGCAGCCCTGGTCCTCACTGTAGAACTGTCATGAACGGATGAGTGGGGGCAACTAATTATTGGGAAATTTGAACAGCTATTGAACACGTACGGCGCACGAAGATCTTAAGGAGAGTGACCATGCTCGATTCCGGAATAGTCAAGGCTCAAAATTACTAGACAGACGGCGGGAATTTACGCCAAAAACAAAACACATGTTTCAAACCACTACTAATTTATGTCCATTATCGTCCCCCGACTTTTATGGTTGAATGAAAAGTTTGGACTCCGTGTGACATCAATAATAAATATAAATAAATCAGGATCTGTGTGACAAAACTCAAGTCTGAATCTTAAATTCTAAAAATTAAGTGCTGAATTATTAATTTATTGAATTGTTTAAATTATATTTGTGTGATAATCAACTGAATGATAATACTAAATTGAAATATAACACAAAATATTGTGTATATATATATATATATTTTTTAAAAATGTCATTAATTATGTATTTGGATAAATAGAAAAATGTGTGCGAGACAAGAGAATGAAATAATTTAGAGGTGCTGTTTAAGTTGTGTATTTGTGTG